TCCAGTCACTGTGGTAGGGTGACACCAGTGACTCTAGAGTATAGTTGTTAATAGTATAGCTTTCCAGACTGCTTCTTTTTTTTCTTTGTGTTGTGCTCCATTTCCCTGGCTTCTCTGTAGTTTCTAGTTTTCCTATCAGTTCCCTTCCGATTCATAGAGATCTTTTTTTTTTTCATGCTCACCAAGTTCTTGTTTTCCAGGTGTCTTAATTCCAGGCCCTGGAACAAGTAGTTGATTTAGTATTTTTTTTTCAAGGAGAATTCTTCATAAATTATTTATTTGATGATTATTTAAAATATAAATGTTTAGGAATTAATCTCGGGTAAATTCCAGATTTTCTTATAAAAGTTGCCACAAAATAAAAAATAGTTGGAATGTTATAAAATGAGTTAAAGATAACTTTTAGTCTGTTCTCTAAGATCACTATATTATTACCCAATCCATGTGATCAACCTCATCTCATTTTCTCTGTTCAAACATTAAAGGACATCTACTCCAAATTAAATTATAAACATGTGATAGCATTGCTTAGAAGTCACAAGAATGTCTTGCTAAAATAGGCATTCAAATCAACAAGAATTGTTAACTACTTTAAAGAGCATTTTAAGAAAGTAGAAGTTAGGTTGCGTCTTGAAGGTAAGTAAGGACTAGATGGAGGACATGAAGTCTTTCTGGGTACCAGTGGGAAATATCATCAGCCAAGTCATGAATGAATAGAGTGTGCTCAGGGAACATTTTGCAAACCTGTCTGGATTTAAGAATGGCAGCTAGAGAAGAGTGGGAAATAAAGATTGGTTAGATGTCACGTGACAAATAGGTTTCTTTCCTTTGTAGTGAATGGTAGGTACTTTGATTACTTTTATTTGAAAATTAGTAAAAATGAATCTATACTTCCTGAATTTAAAAAAAACGTAGGTAAGTTAAAATGTCCTTTCTGCCTATTCAATCATGTCCCTTGAATAAACCTATGTTAATAATTAGACATCTATTTCTCCTTCTGTTTCCCATTGCTGGGACAAAATAACCTGATACCCAGAATTTAAAGGAGGAGAGTTTTACCTTGGCTCACAGTTTCAGTCCACGGTTGGCTGGCCATAAGGCAGAAACACGGTGGCAGAGAGCATGATAGAGGAAAAGATGTTCAACTCATGGGAGCCAGAAAGCAGAGAGAGAAAAAGGAGGAACTGGGGAGGGAGAAATACCCTTGCAGATCACATCTCCAGTGACCCACCCAACCTACCTCCTAACAGCACATTCAGCTGCTGAACTCATGAATGGATGGATCCACTGATCAATTTAGTGCCCCCATGGTCCAACCACCTGCAACACATATGAGAATTGTGGGTGACTTTCCTCCTTCCTTCCTTCCTTCCTTCCTTCCTTCCTTCCTTCCTTCCTTCCTTCCTTCTTCCCTCCTCCTTTCCTTGTCTCTCTCTCGGTTTCTTTAAAGAGCTCTGTCTCTTGAGCTGTACTCCCAACCACGAAAAAGATTTTTATTGAGAGCCAGTCACCATTGAGACAGGATATTAAAAATCTCAAGTCTGTCTCCCCCATCAGTTGATATCAGAGAAATTTTTAAGACGAGAAAGAAGAGAAGCTGCTGGTTGATTGGCGAGAAAGGGAAGTTTTAGGGTTTTGCATAGGCATAGATGGTCGTCAGGTCCCTTTGAAGGTCTCATGTTTCTTTTTGGGAAGTTTGCCATATTCCATGTGGAAGATTTTGTGCGTGTGATATTAGAAGATCTTGATCAGATGAGCTGGCTGGTTCTGCTTGTGTTCTTTCTTGAAAATCTGGTTTCAGATTGTCCTTGAGTAGATTCTGGAGGCACTTTGTAAAAAACAATTTAAGCACTTTGTTGTCTAAAGAATTATGCCTGGTATGTTTAGACCCTAGCTGATTGCACCATGAGATTGGGCAAGATTTTGTATTTCTAACTCTTAAATTTTAAACTTAGATTTATTGAACAACCCAAGTGAATAAAAATAACTTGATGTTTCTGTTTCTGGCCCCTAGATGGCTCTCTATGACTGAGGGCTGAGCCTTCCACTCCTGCTGTGCTGTTTGACCTGTTTCCCTTCAGATCATAACTTTTTCAAGAGTAATAATTTCTGATTATATAGCGGAGAGTGACTAGATTGAGCTGAAGATAGTATTTGTTATACTGGGAATTCTATTCACAACAGACATACTGTGCAGAGGCCCCTTGGTTCACGAACTTGATTCATTTCCAAGATTCTGGAAGAGAGGGCCACTTTGGTGTTCATATGGGAAAGATGGCTGCAGTCGTGTTTGTCACCTGACGCAAAGTTCACAAACGAAAATGAAATTTTGCCAGATGCTTTCGTTTGTGAACTGAGGTACCACTGCACCTGTCAGGCAGCCACTACCACATTTGATTAATCGTGCTCTTAAAATATGGTTACTACAACTGAAAACTTTAATTTTAATTAATTTCAGGTTAATAATCAAGTCAGTTATTGGAAAACATTTAAGTACGTTTGAGATAATTGAGCTAGTGAATCTACCTTTACAACTGCATATTTCATGAAATCTAAATATAGATTAAATACTTATGAAGAAAACTTGCATCCAAGTTGAAATGTGTTGTAAGTGTAAAATATACACAGGATTTTGAAGCTTTAGAGTGAGAAAGCAGTGTAAAATATCTTAATTTTAAAATACTGATTACATGTTGAAATTCTAATATTTTAGACATATTTGGTGAAATAAAATATATTCAAATTAATCCCATATATTTCTTTTACTTCTTTAACATAGTTGCCTGAAAATTTATGATTAGCATAGATTTTTCACATTGTTTTTGTAGAATCCTTAGTGTAGCCAGGAGACTTCAGAGGCTGCTGCCCTTATATGGTGACATGAGTCTATGGCTCTTGATATCAAACAGTTTTTATCAGTTTATTTACTTTGCTTAGTTTTTAATTTCTTCAGTGATGGAATGTTGCCATTCTGTATGGCCTCTGAGTACTTATGTCACTATGGTTTTTTGTTTTTTGGTACCAGAGATCAAACTTGGGTCCTTGCACTTGCATAGCAGGTGGCGAAACCACTGAGCTAAATCCCTGGCCCTCTGAGTACTTATGTTTTGGTTCATTTGAGCCTGTGAAATTGGTTGTAAAGTCAGCAAGGTTAAATCAGCTCTTGACTGGATTTTAGGCATGAGAGAGTCTAGGGTTGGCTGCCACTGTAAACTGTTCATGTCTCAAACAAGCATAGGGAAGCATTAGGAGTTAAAATTTTTGCCAAGGAAGAGACTGTATAGAAGAACAATATTGTATATGTGTATATACGTATGTATTTTTTGTACATATTTGCCATACATAATAATCATTCATCATAGGGAATTTATGTATACATCTTTTTTTACATATAGTGGAGTACTATTCATAATATGTCTTTTTTTTTCTTTTGGTACCAGGAATCAAACTCGGGTCTTGCACTTACACAGCAGGCAGCGAAACCACTGAGCTAAATCCCCGGCCCCATAATATATCTTAATTCTTTTTTTTCTCCATCCTCCTCTCCCCTTGACCCTTCTTCCCCTCCCCATTTACAAAAGCTTTATTTCCATTTTTTCCTTTCGTTCTCTTTTTTAAAATCTCTTTTCCTTTCCTTCCCTTCCCCCTGCCCTCTCTCTTATTCCCCTTCCCATTTGAACATGTTGAAAAGAACAATATATTCTTGTTCTTTATCTTTTGTCAAGATGTCTTATGATCTGCTTAGGCTGAGAACCAGGGTTTTTTGGGTCTGTTTTTAAGTTCCTGGGGGGCTATGGACTCCACTGAGGTATCTTGGCACCTCTTTGAATATCAGTTAATGATAATTGTGAGGGTTTGTGTTCTTTCAGTTCTATTCCATTGATCCATATGTGTCATTTTCCTCCCCCTTCCTCTTCCTCCTCTTCTTTTTTACTGAAGCTGGAACCTGGGGTTGCTCTACATCTCCTACATCTGCAATCCCTTTTATTTTGAGACAAGGTCTCATTATGTTGCTCAGACTAGCTTCAAATTTGCAATCCTTCTGCCTCAGTCTTCTAAGAGCTGAGAATATAAGTGCATACCACTATACCCAGATACTTATTTATTTTCTTCCTTTAAGCCTATTTTTTTCTTAATGAAGGAGAATGGCTAAATAATATCCCCTTTAGAACACTTTGTGGACCAAAAATATCTTCTGTTTATTGATTCAACAATTATTTGTGGAGTGTTTACCATATAGGAGGCTATATGCTAGTGGGGTATGCATAGAGAGGGCTGTGGTATAGCCCAGGTAACTGACAAGAACCAGTGAGTTTCCCTTTGTGGAATATTTACAGGGGAACCGATCATCTGCTCTAGAACCATGGAAACAGAGGTGGTTGCATTTTCTGAGGATCACTTTATCTTTATCCCGATCAGCTACTTTTCTGAACCCCACGTGTACTGCTGTCTCACATCGTTGTTTCTGTTGTTCAATCTGCCCAAGATGAGCCAGATGACTTATTCCCCACTCCTTCATATTCCTGCTTAAATGTCCCCATCAGTGAAACCTACCCTGACTGTTGTCTACAAACTAGTGCTTCCCCACCACCAGTCTTTATCCTCCTGCACAGACTTATTCTTCTTTATAGACTTATTATTTATATTTTAATTTGTTCTTGTCCCTATCACCTTCTGCTACCCTTCCCTTAAATATAAATGACCGATGAATAGAATCCTTAGGCAATTTGCTTACCCCTTTATCCCCTGTGCCTTGAGTAGTTACTGCTGCGTATTGGATACTTGATAAACATTCTTATAAGACTGTCTCTTTGATCATTTATTTTTCTCTTCTTCCTATTTTTTCCTGCATAGCCATTTATTGATGGTTATAGTCACACTGACAATTTTTAAATTTACTATGCTTAGAATAAGCAAATGCCTCAGTATCGCTATAGTGGTTGAAAGAGGCATTTATCTTTGCCAACTACTTATTACATTTTGCTTTTTCCTTCTTTCAGTTTCCAGAGAAGACCAATCCAATTGATAAACACCTTGATGTCTTGATCAATAAATATGGGTTGTCTGCCCACCCACTTACTCCTCAGATGTTTGGGTCTGCTGGAAGAGAGCACATGGAAAAATATGGTATGCTAAAAAACCTTTTAAGGCTTCTTATTAGTTATGCACATGAGATAAGAAATAATAGGTATTTATTAAGGAACTTTGGAGAATAACAGGCTATATAAGATATAAAATGGTCTTTGAATTAAGTTGAAAGTAGGGTATATTTCCTAGGGAAATAGCTAGGGTACTGTGCAGTAGGAAATTGAAATAAGAAAAATAGCACAAAATTTGTCTCTGGAAATCATGACCTATAAAATGAGAATTATCAATTCTGAATATAAAAGAGACCAAAACTTGCTCCTGATGATATACAGAGTTTGCCAAAAAATATATACATCAGGAAAAGAAAAACTTATATAAATATTTTAATTCTAAATTTATTGAGACATTAGGAGATTAATGCAAGTTACTTTTGGCCTCTACAGTTACAAGAGGTGCTCAAAGTGGTGGCTGTTAGCTTCCAGACATTATTAGTACAGTGAATTGCTGAAGTGTGTATACATGTTTTTGGGTGGACTCTGTGTATTATGGTACTGGTGTTGAACCTAGGGCCTTGTGCATGCTAGGCAAGTAGTCTGCCACTGAGCTATATTCCTAGCTCTTAATAATAGATTTATACAGGCAAATTTTATTCCTAATATTTAAGCCTATCGAGAGTCCATTATCACTTGTCATTCCATGTTTTTTTTTTTGTTTGGTACTGGGGATCAAACTTGGGACCTTGTGCTTGCAAGGCAGGCAGCGGCATCACTGAGCTAAATCCCTGGCCCTCTATGTTGTTTTATGAAGTTAAGATTTTTGTTTTTATTTTATAGGAAAACGTCCTAGTTCTTTGACTGATGGTCCACAGTTGGCTATTTTAGTGAGTTAGGTAAATCATAGGACAGGACAGACAGGGTTTTGTTTTATTTTGCTTTTTTTCTCTTGTATTACTGAACTGGTGCCTAGTTGTATACTGTAAGATGAGTCATATTTGAAAGTTCAGAAGTCCTGTTGTTTGTTTTCTTATTTATTTTGTGGTGATGAGAATTGAACCCAGGAACTTAAGACACATTAGGCAAGAGCTGTAACTCTGAGCTACCTTCCTAGCCCCAGGATTCGTGTTTTCGTAGGAAATATATTCCAGGTTCAATAGCCAGGGTCAAGTAATCAGAAAGAAAAAATAAAATAAAATAAAAACTTTAAGGAAAAGTAGTGGGATCATGTGGAGGAACACTGCCACTTTTTGGTCATGGGAATTTTCTGTTTTGCAACTGTTTCTTACCATTTTAACCTCAGTTCATTCCAGTCTGGCTTCCTTCTTTTCTCAAGGCTGCAAATGATTGCCATGTTTGCCATATCCAATAAATTCTCATTGAATAAATCTCTCAATCCCGTTAGTCCCTTCCAAGCACTTCCTTACTGAAACATTCTCACGACCTCTTTGACAACCCTTCATTCTCCTCTTATTTTCTTACCTCTTTGGGTATTCTTTATTTCCTTTTCAACTGACTAACTCATTTAAAATATTACTGCATTCTCATTGTATTCCAGGCACTGTTCTGGGCACTGAACTATAGCAATCTTATCAGTTAGTTATTGCTGTATAATACCCCCCCAACTCAGTGATTTTATTTTGTTTTATTTATTTTATTTTTTTGGTACCGGGGATCGAACTTGGGTCCTTGGGCTTGCGCAGCAGGCGTCGAAACCACTAAACTAAATCCCCGGCCCCAACAACTCAGTGATTTTAATCCACAGTTACTTTTTTATATAGATTACAAGTTTATAGGATAATTGAAAGTAAGCTGATCTGGGCCAGGGATTTATCTCAGTGGTTCTGCCGCCTGCCTTGCAAGCGCAAGGTCCTGAGTTCGATCCCCGGTACCAAAAAAAAAAAAAAAGAAAATGAGCTGATCTAAGAAGTTACCTCCTGTCACTATAGGTTGCATAGAGGCTCTGTAGTAGTCCTGTTTGGCTGGGTCAGGTGTCTCTCTTCCTTTTCCTGGGACCAAAGGGCCAAATCTAGCATGTACTTTTTATGGTAATAGCAGAAGTATAAGAGCATAATATGGAGCCAGGTGCGGTTGTACATGCCTGTAATCCCAAAACACTGGGAGGCAGAGGCAGGTGATTGTAAATCTGAGCCCAGTCTGAGCAATTTAGAGACTTACTGAAACCCTGTTTCAAAACAAAAATAACAAAAAGGTTGGAGATGTGGCTCAGTGTAAAGACTCTGGGCTCAATTGCCAATACAGAGGGGCAGAGACAGAGAGATATAGACAGACAGAGAGAGAGAGAGAGAGAGAGAGAGAGAGAGAGAGAGAGAGAGAGAGAAACATGCAAGGCTTTTTGAAACTTAAACTGTTAACCAAAGGAATTAAGGGACAACGAAATATACTCCACTTCTTTTGTGGTAGGAAATTGTGAGATGAAACTACAAAGGACATTCAGATGGGTCAAAGGATTAGCGATATTAATTCATTTATTAAGAAACAGTAAACAAACAAATGAAAGCTTAAATTTTTTATGTGAATTTCTGGTAGGGGAGAGACAATAACACATGAAAACCTGAGATAATTACATATAGTTATTAGTTCTGTGAAGAAAATAAAGTGAGGTAATGTGCTTGCGGGGAGAAGATGGCAAATTTAAGATAGGAAGGCCTCTATACTTATATATCCAGCTGGCATCTTGTCATCTCTGCTTGTGTATCTAATGGGCATCTCACATTTAACATGTTCAAATGCAAACTCTTTACTTCTCTTCTCCTAGCAGCTCAGATTTTCTCCTTTCTCCAGTCTTCCTCATTTTAGTAAGTGGCACTTCAATCTGCTCAGATGGTCTAAGCAGATACATGAATTAACTTTGGTACCTTTTTCTCCCTTTCCCCCACTCCAGTCCCATCCTATGTCCTATCAATTTATTTTGGCTCACTTTGTTGGGCATACCTCAAATCTTACGAGATAAGTTCTTCTCTACCATGTGTTTCTTCTGAGATGGGTAAGAAACAACAGTCTAGGCTTCCTAGTAGCCGTTTGTTTGACTGGGAGAATTTGGTCTATCGGAACTATGTTCTGAGGCATCCCCTTTGATCTTGTTGAGATTTTAACTAAAGATTTGTCACAGCCTGAGCTGCTTCTCAGACTGTATTCCTGGCAGTGTCCTGGATTTGATCTTTGCTAAAAGGACATCTCTTAATTTTAGCTTCTTTTACACATAGATAAAATTTTCAAAAACTATGAAGTCCTGGGTCTTTTTTGTTCAACGGTCTTTTCCTCAGTATGGAGATACAGAATTTTACTATAAGCAGCAAGAAGAAACCAGGTGGCAACTTCAGTATTTGTGTGTTGTCTAATTGCCACATACTTGCAGGCAGTAGTGTTAGAACAAGTGCTACTGCTATTAGAGCAAGGTCTCCCTTCAGTTCCCAGTCAGATTTTTTTTTACCTACTTAGAAGCCCACCCCTGCAGCATCCTCAGAGAACCCCAAAGACTCCACAAATAATCTCTTCCAGGCTCTCCAGGCTTTCACTAGCAGTCTCCTCAAAGACCACTGTCTGGCTTCAGAGGTACTCATGTAGTTTACTCTTGTTTAGTGTAGCCTCACTTTCAGTGTATCAATCTGCTTGTGCTACCATAACAAAAATATCATAGACTAGGGGCTTATACAACAGAATTTTTTCCCTCGCAGTTCTGGAGTTTGAAATGTCCAAGAGCAAGGCACTGGCAGACCCATTGTCTGGTAAGAGCCTGCTTCCTGGCTCATAGAGAGCATTTTATGTCCTCAGACAAGGAAGAGGAGAGCTCTGGGTATTCTTTTATAAAGACAATAATTCCTTTTTTTTTTTTTTGAGACTGGTTCTTGCTTTGTAATGCAGGCTGGCCTTGACCTCACTATGTAGCCCAGGTTGGCCTTGAACTCATGAGGATCCTCCTGCTTCAGCCTCCCAAGTGCTGGGATTACAGGCGTGTGCCATCATGCCCAGTATACTAATTCCATTCTTGAACACTATCCTCATGAGTTAATTACCTCCCAAAGACCCTGCCTCCTAATACTATCCCAAGGTGATAGCAGGCGGTATCACCTTGGGGATATGAATTTGAAAGGGGCATAAACATTCAGTCCATTGCACCTCCAAAGGTCCCATGTCTCATTCATATGGGGGCCAGGGCTTCAACATACGATTTTAGGGGAGGGGGGCACAATTCAGTCCATAGCATTCAGCAACCAAAATATGTATTAATTATCAATTACCCTGAAACAGTAAGTCTGTTTTTATTTTGGCTTTTTTTGGTGCTGGGAATTGAACTTATGGCCTTATGTATGTTAGGCAAGCAGTCTGCTACAGAGACATGCTCATTCTTTCTATTCTTAAAAATATTTCTCGTTTTCATTCCAGTTTTCTAGTCCCCCTGTTGGTAAGCTCACGTGCCTTCTGGCAGAGTCTTCAATAAAAAGAAAGCTCTTGCCGGGGATTTAGCTCAGTAGTTCTGTCGCCTGCCTTGTAAGCACAAGGTCCTGAGTTCGATCTCTGGTACAAAAAAAAAAAAAAGAAAGAAAGCTCTTGCCTCAGAGCCTCAGCAGGTGAGGTTCCATCTGGCTTCAGTGTCCTTTAATCCATTCTTTCAAGGTCAGCTCTTCTCATCCTTTAGGTGTTCAAAAAAGTTCTGAAGAGTTGGGGTCTGGCTCAGTGATAGAATGCTTGCCTAGCTTGGTGTTTTGAGGCCCTGGGTTCCATCTCCAGCATAGCAAAACCTATCAACCAACTAACAAACCACAACAAAGAAACCAAAGCAGAAAAAACAAAAACAGAACCAAAAAATCAACCTTATCTCGTATCTCCTGCACCTTACAAAAGATATTTCCCCCTGGGGATATTTAATCAACATCTCTGATTTAATAGTCTAAGACTGTTAATTCTTTCCTTGAACTGCTCCCTAGCTCACTCCATCTGTCTTTTCTGAAGCTTTCTCTATTCAATACTTAATTTTTTTTTTTGTACTAGGGATCGAACTCAGGACCTTGTGTCTGTGAGGCA